ATCGGGTGGCTGGCTCGAGCCGTGCCAGGTGCAGGGTCTGCTAGCTGGGTGCTGGCAAGCTTGCACCTGGCACAGGCACCATAGCCACCCCGTGCCCCTTTAAGGGGTCCGGGGCCGGGAGGGGGGCAATAGAGTTTCCCTGGTGTTGGCCAGAGTGGCCACCAGGGAAAGCTGGGGAGGGCTAGCCTCCCACTAGTTCGAATTAAGGGGCTACACACCCCTTAATTCGAACTAGTAAGTTCGAACTAGGCTTAGTCCTCGTACAATGAGGTTTACCTAGTTCGAACTAAGCGCTCTGCTAGTTCGAATTAAGTTCGAACTAGCGGAGCGCTAGTGTAGCGCCTATCAAAGTTAATTTGAACTAACGTCCGTTAGTTCGAATTAACTTTGTAGTGTAGACATACCCAGAGAGACTATTCCAGTCAGTCTATAGTCACACAGCTGTAGGTAAGGAAACTGTGTCCCCCAAGCATTTGGATTTGTGGGGTATTGGAAGAGGGGCGCTCATTTGCTGAAGTTCTACTGCCATCCAGGGAGCTGAAGTTTAAAACATTTCTGCATTAGACTGTCCCTTTGTCTGGGAAGTACAGGCTGTGAAGGATCCACACCCATAGCTTCAGGTACTTGAGTTATCCCAAGCTCTGTCTATAAAAGACAATCAATATTTCTGGTGGTGTATTTTCTAAACAGCAGCTAGTACTGACTTCTACTTCACCACAGTTTCAAATAGCACCAAGTGAGCCATCACCGGGGGTGTGGGAGGCATTCTATGTGACGCTCTCTGCTTGGCATGGTATAATTTTAACAACTTACCTGCCCATTAGGATCTATGCACTGTCCAGAAGGTGTTTCAAACTGGAACTGGTCAAACCACGTATTCATTATTTTAATATCCTTTTCTGCACCAGGCCTCCTTGTTGTCACACACATCAGAAAAGCCATACGGTTTTTGCTCATGTCATACTTATCCTGTTAATTCAAAGCATTAAATTAAAATGTTTCATCAGATGAATGGTTTGGAATTGAATTGAACAAAGTTTCTGTAACACAGTATGTTTTTTTACATGAAACACATGGCAGAGGGCTCAATCCTGCAACTACTCTGCTAAGAGAAATCCCACTGACTGTGGGAGGATCTGTAGGATTGGCTTCAATAGCTTCATCCATGACATCAAACTGATGGGTTGCTAACAGCAGGTATCTGCAACAGGTGCAGATGAACTAGTGCTGAAAATGATTTCACTGTAATTGCAAATGGGACCACACTATTTTCAGCACCATTTTATAGAATGGTCCAGACATTACCCTATCAGAATCTACTCCTTACTGCAGCACAAATCTGGGATAATTTTTTCTAAGTCAATGGAGTTACAAGGTATAAAACTCACAGGTGAGAATTTGGCCTATATTTTTTAGTTAGAAAATCAGTTATCTTTAAAATGATAAAAAGAAGGTTAAAGAAATGTGTATTTAAGGATTTGGGTTCAAATTATTTCTGGACTTCAGATAATAAATCAAAATAAATTCCTGAAAAAAAGAGGAAGAATGGCTTTTGTGCAAAAATAGAGCCTAATTAATTATGCAAATGAGGCATGGTGATATTCCACACTTTGCCTCATTTGCATTTTTTTGTGCAAGATTGGGCAGTGTAGACATAGCCGTCAGGTATAGCTGCACTACAAAAGTTATCCACAGGAGAAAGCTGATATTACAGGCCTGATTCAGAAAATGTAGCAAGAATAGATGTTTTTCATTCCTCAAGTTTAACAAGTAATTCTTAGACTTTTGGTTGATACATGAAAAGGAGATAATATAGATGGTTCTATTCATGAAAAAATTCTGTTCTCAGCTACACCTGGGCAAACCTATTGAAGTCAGACATAACCAGTGTCTCTAGAAAAGTGGAGTGAAATCCATAAACCATTGAAGTCAAAGGAAAATGTTGCCATTGACTTCAAAAGGGCCAGGATTTCAACCCAAGTGCATATATTATTCCATATCTGTGAAAAGCTAGTTTTCTACAACTATATAGAAATGTGGTTATTAGTAAAATGACTAGTAACTTCCTAAAGTTACTTTGTGCTGCTGCTACGCTTGAGCTCTAAGGCCCAGTTCCACAAAAGTATGAAGGTTCCTAACTTCCATTGAAGTAAATGGCAGTTAAAAGCCTGAATACTGGTCTACGAGTATCATGCTTCTACCATCTCTCATTCCTTGTATTTTGGAATGTAATAACATTGACCAGCATACCTCTGGCATCCATATCTTAGGCGTAAGTATGGCTTCCTTTTATTGTGCATGTGACTCTGATTTACTTCCATTCTTTTCCTGATTTTCAAAATTCTCTCAGGATATTATCTTGCTCCAGAAGCAGTGATCCATGCCAACCCTCTCCATGACAATGCCTGACATTGGACTAAGGGAGAGGAGAGTGACTAGTAGATCCATAATCATGCAGATTCACTATCCATAGTCCCTCCTGTGGGCAGTGCATAGGGAAAGCAATCAGTACCATCATCCATGGGCTACAGTTACTTACAGCCATGAAAGAGCTAACAACCGAATCATGCAAACACACCTGCACGTGCGGATTAGTGCCATGAATAATCCCATTCATTGTGATGGGGTTACATGGTAGTAAACCCTACAATTGGCTGTGTTTACAGGATGAGGTATGAGCTGTGCACAAATCACCTAATCTTCCAGGAAATCCCCTTCTGGAAATTCTGCTTAACCTGGCTGTATTCAGACCACAGACCACAGTATAGTAGGTTAAACAAACGACAGAATGCTATCTATATCAATCTGAGAAAACTGCAGAACGATGCAGGGAAATTGAAATATTTACAAATACCAGGCCTATTTTGCTTGCTGTCACACAAGGGCAGCTCCTACTGATGTCCAGAAAAGTTGTACCTATAAAACTGGGAGGAGACTTGACCCAGGGGCTTCACAGGCTTTGAACTGTTCTGAGAGAACTGAAAAATAAATGCGGTTACCAATGCATCATGGTCACTTTGCTCAGCTCTTCTTTTAAAACTTGCATCACTTGTCTGACTTGTGGTGTGTTGTTCACCAGTTCTCAGTACAGTAGCTGTGAGAATATTTAAAACAATAATTTGCAAGTGCAGCTCAAATGGCGGGTGATGCTGTTTTTTGTAAAACTTTTATTACTGTATCCTATTTTTTGTAAGTTACAATTGACACACTGGGCCATGCAAACTGCTATCGAGACAAATCAGATTCAGAATTTCACCCTTCCCCCCCCCACCCCCCTCCCTGCTAAATGCACACACCACTGCAGGTCCAGGAATATGCTCTTCCCTCCTCAGCAGCTTGACCAGGTCAGTTAAGCCTATATCTGAAGCACCTTCAGGCTCAAGTTTCTCACTGTTGCTCCAGCTCTGCCCCTGGTGGCAACAGTGCCAGGACTTAAGGCAGCTGTCAGTGCAGTAAGCACCGTGTTGTCAAAGCCTCCTCAGATCAAGTTTACTCGACAGAATAGTTATAAAATTGCTAGTGCCTTGTCTACACTAGTTCTCCTGCTGGGGCCACTACAGGATGAACCTCTCTAGTCCAGCACCTTCAGGACCTGACCTATCCAGAAGAGAATTTGCCAGGCCATGGGAGGTCAGTATTGTCTAGCAGCATTAACAACACTTCCCCTGCTTCCTAGACTCTGAGAAGACATTTAAGGGTAAATTAGAGCTAAGCAACAGCACAGAACACTGACAGCCAGGACTGATGGCTGTAAACAAACATTATGGGACCACGGGAAACTTGGCTACACTCATGACAAGTGGACATCGGGCTAACTAAAATCATGTCAGAGAATGGATGTTTCCAGATCAGAGAGTTCTGGAGTAGAGAGGTTCAACCTGTACTATGGGAACTGAAATGGTGGCATCATCAATAAGAAAAAAGGCCTAGAGGAGAGAAGCCCCAAAGAGAGTCTCAGCCTGGCCCACATACTGGGACTTTGCTGTGCAGAACTTCATCTCAACTGGAAATGAACTTCTAAAGCTTTCTCAGGGATGGGGAGTGTGTGTGTGTGGGGGGGGGGGGGGATTATTTTGAATGTAAGTAACTGACGGCCAGAGAGCGCCTGCTTTGGAAAGGGAGATTGTTCCCCCACCCTCCCCACGAAAAAGGTTGATAAAAAATAGGAAGAGGAGCGATCCCCGGCTCTGTTCTAGCAGCGGAGCCCTTCGCCCCTGCGTGCACCTAGCATTTTAGGCCTGGCTGGACTAGAGAAGGGGGCACCAGGGGAGTTGCCGCTGAAGGCGCGCGGCCGCGCACAAACACCCCTCTGCCGCCCACCTCCCTTGCGGAGCCTTGCAGCGGCACTCGCCTTCCTGCTGGCCGGGGAATGGCGCGGTTGTTTTCCTGATCTGGTGGGGGGCGGCTGCCCCGTTGTGTCCCTGCTGGGGCAGCCTCGCCCCACCTCCAGCTGCGATTGGGGCTTCTGTTTGTTTCTGTTCATACAGTTTGCTGCAGTTTTCCATCCCGGAGGACCTGCGTGAAGGTGGTCCGACCAGAGATACGGGGATCGATTTTTAAGAGTAAGAGGTTTTGTTTTTAAAGCAGGGGTGAGGAACCTAATACCCCAGCTCACGTGAGTGTGGCCCTCGAGACTCAAGGTTCCCACACTAACGCTCTAGCTCCCCTCCAGATTGGTGATAGAAATGTAGCCGTGTTAGCCTGGGGTAGTTGAAGCAAAATGCAGGACAATGTAGCACTTTAAAGACTAACAAGATGGTTTATTAGATGATGAGCTTTCGTGGGCCAGACCCACTTCCTCAGATCAAATAGTGGAAGAAAGTAGTCACAACCATATATACCAAAGGATACAATTTAAAAAAATGAACAAATATGAAAAGGACAAATCACATTGCAGAACAGAAGGGGGATGCGGGGGGGTGGGAAGGGGGAGGAAGGAAGGTAAGTGTCTGTGAATTGCTGATATTAAAGGTAGGGAGAGTGGGATGTTTGTGAGTTAATGGTATTACAGGTGATAATTGGGGAAACTGTCTTGGTAATGGGTGAGAAAGTTCAAAGACTTGTTAAGTCCTTGTTGGTAAGTGTCGAATTTTAACATGAATGACAGTTCAGAGGATTCCCTTTCAAGTGCAGATGTAAAAGGTCTTTGTAGCAGAATGCAGGTGGCTAAGTCATTTAGAGAGTGTCCTTTCTGGTTAAAGTGGCAAGAAACTGTTTTCTCTTTGTGATCTTGTCTGATATCTGTTTTGTGGGCATTAATCCTTTGGCGAAGTGTCTGAGATGTTTGTCCAATGTACATAGCAGACGGACACTTTCGGCACATGATAGCGTAGATTATATTTCTGGATGCGCAGGGATATGTGTTCTTGATCTTATAACTCACTTGGTTGGGTCCAATAATGGTATCAGCAGAATGAATATGTGGACAAAGCTGGCAACGGGGTTTGTTGCAAGGGAAGGTACCAGGGTTGGTATTAGTGTGGTATGTCCTGTGGTGGTTGGTAAGAATCATCTTGAGGTTAGGTGGTTGTCTATAGGAGACTATGGGTCTGTCTCCCAGAGCCTCTTTGAGTATGGTATCCTGTTCCAATATAGGCTGTAGTTTATTGATAATGTGTTGGACAGGTTTAAGTTGGGGGTTGTAGGTGATGACAAGTGGTGTTCTATTGTTGGTTTGTCTGAGCAGCCTCCCTTCTCTGGGTGCCTGAAGGGTGCCCCATCAAAATGATGGGCGCTGAGGATACCACTGTGCAGCCAGGCCCCTGGTGTAAATGTTGTGAGGGCCAAAAGTGTAACAAGGCTCAAAGAAAAAAAAGTGAAGTTCATAGAGCTGCTAAGTCCCTCAGGGGCTGTCAGCCAAGATGACCAGAGATGCAACAGGATGTCCTGAGTATTCTTACACCTCTGACCTAGGACCACCATGGCTTCCTGAAAGAGAGGGGCCATGGATCTCAGCCTCTCCAGGGCCCTGTCTCCAGAAGCCAAAGCTGCCCTGGGAGGGAAGAAGTGATAGCAGCCCCCAGCTTATCTCCTGCCAAAGGCAGTTGGAGGGTCTGTGGTTCCTTGCAGATGCCCAACTGGCTCTTACCCTGACCTGGTTCTGGCTTCCATCTTGCAAGTGCAGCCTTGGGAGCCAAAGAGCTGCAGCCCGGACATGGAAAGAACTGTGTACGCAGCAGTGGGGAGCTGCAGGCCCTACATCTGACCTGGGTGGGGGACAGGCTGCTCTCCAGCTCCCCTACTATGGGCAGGTGGAGTTCTGCAGTTCCATTGCCACTCCTATACACACTAGGTGCCAGCTTCCTGCCTGGCTGGGTGATAGGGTCTGGAGGGGGAAGAAGATAGATGGGGGCTGGGCCCATGGACCCCATGTTCTCACATCCCTGCCTCTGTCTTAAGATGGGACTGGATGTCAGGAGATCTCTGGATAATTGCCCTGTTCTGATCATTCCCATGTGGTGCCAGCCACTGGCAGAAGACAGGACACTGAACTAGAGAGACAGTTGCTCTGACCTTGCTATGGCCACTCTTATATTTTTAGGTCATGTCCACTGTACTAATCTAGCAGCAAAGCCCAGCTACTGTGCACATGTTAGAGCGTAGAGCATGGCCCTTAGCCAGTACCTGAGCAGCTGTAGAAGGGGAAAGGCACCCTGGATTTTTTTGGAGGAGGGAAACCCATTGCAGGCTCTGTTGACATGTCCCAACAGCCTGTCAGTGGGTCCTGGTGCTGGTTGGCTAGGGTGAGAATACAGAGGTAGTCCGCTGGTCCCTACAACGGGAGCTCATCAGTCCCTGGGGCTAGCTTTCATAAAGCCTAAAGCCAAAGTTAGACGGCTAAGCTCCAGTTAATAAGCTATGGGAGCACAGGTTGTGAACAGACTGGGACAGAAGAAGACTTCTTGCTACATGGAAAGACGCCAGAACTACGAATGGGCTGTAATGTTGAGCTGGACTTTATTTTGGGACTCTGAGGACTGTTCAGAACTAACACTCTTATTAAATGGGTTCATTGGTAGGGTGGTGTTAATACAGTAAATAATTGTGTCTGTTTCTAAACTAACCACAGAAGGGGAACTTGTTCATCAACCATGAGAACAGATGTGTACTGTTCTTAAAGTGCCTTGTGAAGGGAAAATAAGAGAGGAGTCATACCAGGACCAAGAGGGCACTGAGAAGGCAGCTGACCCTTTGTTTAACATTTTTTTACCTGCTACCATTTTGCTGTCGTGTGTGTGTGTGTGTGTGTGTGTGTGTGTGTGTGTGTGTAACAGAACAAAAGAACTAACTTGATTAGTCTCATTAGTTTGAGCTTACAAACAAATATTCATATTTATCCTTTTGTTGTTTTTTCTCCAGCTAAACTCCCTAATACTGGGGTTCTCAAACTGTGGGCCCTGACCCCCCCCAGTGGGTCGTGAGCAACTTAAGAGGGGGATTGCATCACCTTAAAGAGGGGCCATGAGCAATTTAGAGGGAGGGGGTCACGGTATCACACAGTTTGAGAACCCTGCCCTAATACATTTAGTGCTAAATTCTGTCCCCAAATCAACAAGAGTGTGGCCTCCATTCTTAATTGTACCCACAGACCCCATCTGAAATCAGTGAGACTGATGGAGGGTGAATGGCAGCAAAATTTATTCCTCAGTCACCACCGTTAGGAAAGATTGCCAGGAGATTTGCCAGAGTCTCTCAGTATCACCTGGAGCAAGAATTAATCTCTCCATGCTTCAGTTCTCCATCAGTAATATGGGTGTGATAATACTTAATTTATCCTAACCCTGGATCTATCTTTTTTATTGGGATTATAAAATATTTGGGGTAAGGACTGTCTCCGTCTGTGTTTGTACACAGCATAACACAGTGAGCTGGGACAGTAGCTGGCATTACTGTCATTTTTTTTCTCCGTTCACAGCTGTTGCTTAGAAAATTTTCAACTGAAAATTTATTCCACCGAAAGCTGAGGTTGCCTTGAAAATAATTTTTTTTCGGGAAAATATATTTTTCAATTGATTTGAAATACATTTAAAAGATTTGCTTTCGGTTTGTTAAACCGATGTTTTGTCACGCTAACTGCAGTGCCCAGCATTAACCAACTGGGGTCATGTGAGCGCTGTAGCAGGAGGGACTCCAGCCAGGAGCATGAAGCTGGTTTTCTCACGCCGGAAGCCGACTGGCTTAGGCGCCCGTGCGCACCTCCGGCTCAAGGATCTTTACGCAGATTCACTCTGGAGGCTGACATGACAGAGCTGCTCTAACGCCTTTCTCCTGTGTATCCAGCGGCACAAGGAAGAAGAGTGGAGCGAGCAACATGGAAGCACACGGGGACGAGCATTTTGGCGTGTCATTGAAATCAGAGTGCAAACTGATGGCTGGCCGCTTGTGTGCAAACTACTGAAGAAAGCCCAGATACTATCGTGCTGTGGAAATGCATGTGGGAGATCACACAAACGAGGATTCCTGGAATTTAACGGTGAATGCAGACATTTGTTTTGTTGTAAAAATTGACCCACAGAAGACCAGCTAACGGTTGGGAAGGAGCATTTGGGATATAAGCGTTTGAGTAACCCTCTGTGGCAACTATTCAGAAACAAGACAAGAGTCTGGAAGGATTTACAAGCACTGTCAATACAAAAGACTATTAAAAAGAAACTGCTTAATGAGGGAGGAAATAACTAGATAGGTGGGAGACTGGAAAAAGCGGAAAAGACAGAGAAATTAAGGAATTATGTGTGTGCCTGTATGCTAAGTATACATTTAAATACTAACAAAGAGTAAAATAGTTCCAATTTAGGGTAGTGTACAGTTTTTCTAGCAAAAACAAAACTTTTTTTAGCGTTTTTGAATTGCAGACATTTTTTTTAAAAAGTCACCACATGTGATTTGGGTTTGGAATTAAGTGGCTCCTCCCTGATGTAAAGATGTCAACAGGATTTATTAGAAATTATGATCACTTAAACTCTCATACATCTTATTTGCTTTCTGCCCCTATTCGGACCCGGTTCCTTCTTGTCTCCAGAGAGAAGTGGGTCGGAGAAAAATCTGTTTAAAAATATCATCCCCGTTTGTGTCCGTCTTCTTAAATGATCCAAAAAACCAGTCCTCCACTGCTCCAGGCTCAAGATATAGGAGACAAGATGGAAACACTAATGGTAAGGATATGGAAGAGGGTGGGGGTTTGAGCGTGCGTGGATGAGTTTCTGTTTGAATGCCACAATCCCTTGGATAAAAAAGATCTGGAGAAGGAATGGAATGAGTGATGCCCTATCATCCTGAAAAAAAAGTATATTTTCCCCCTTTAAGAATCTGTTTTGCATGCTTGTTTTTTCCAAAGTCCTCTGTATTGGATATTGCAGGATTTTTCGTATTGGAAACAACTTTCATTTTTTTCATTGAATTAATTGTTTTTAGTTCAGTAGAGATCACACTGGGGTTATTGCCCGGTGGGGCTGCAGTTCAGTATTAGAGGTTGCATGGCTTACAGTGGGGAGCAGTGCAGAGTTGCATGGTGCATAAATATGCAGAATGATAAATGCAAGGCTACACGATGACTGGAGCCAAAGAACTTGTGTGTCCTTTGGTTGAGTCCGGAGCCTTGGGTGTGGCCGGTACTGGTGCAGTTGGAGCACCAGGGAGGCAGTATAGCAATGAGATGCAATATAACGGGGAGTGTACCGTATGCAATAGAGGTGGATGGGTCCAATGAAATGTCTCATCTATTTAAGGATTGTCGCCATGTGTGTGGTGGGGTGCTGGGCACTCTGAGCCGCAGGGCAGAACGTGGCCCCGGCGGGAGCGCGCCTGGCACACAGCTGTGGCCGGTCCCACTCACACTCTTCGAGTGGGGTGGGAGTAGAAGAGTTAATAGAACGTTGGGCCCTTCCCTTCTCCTGATTGTCTGGAGCTCGGCCACCATGACTGCCTGGCTCCGTGGGAGGGTACTGATGATGTCAGCGCCATGTATGTCCCTGGAATTGGCGTTGAGGGAAGGAATTGCTGTGGTTGGGGGCAGAGCCTATTAACTTACCGCTGCCCAGTGCCTGCGATCCCAGCCCATCTTCTAAGCTAAGCAGTGCTGGGCTGGGCCAGGATATGGATGGGAGACTCCCACTTCACCTCACCACTTCCCTGCTGTGCTCTTGTGCTAGGTATGTTCCTGCCTTTGCCAAGGGGAGACTCCTCTGCTGTGTTCCATTGCCATCTGCTAAGATGCCTAGGCCAGACAGTGTGTACAGGAAAACCAGGTCCTCCAGAATATTGTCTTTTTTCCTCTCCCCACAAAAGATCCCGTAGTTATCAGGGTCTCGTAACGCCTGGGGGTGAAGCCACTGCCAAGACAGGATGAGGAGATTATTGTTTCTGTCCTGTACTTTGTTTTCTACTCCAATCAATGAGGATAATGTTGAAGGCGCCTCACATGGGAGTCCTGTGATATCCCTCAGCAGGAGAGAGAGATCCTGTAAATATTAGAAGCCACTTGGACATAAGACTTATTGTTCCAACTAAATGAATGCTAAGAGAAGCCAAAAACAAAAATGCCGGTCATGAGGTTTTCTGTCGTGTCCAAGCAGTGTTATGTTGTAGGCCTTGTTCCTTCATAGGGCTCTGTGTGGTGGGCACAGGAGTTCTTTGTTTTGGACCATGTGAGGTGCTTTTATTTGAAGTAGGCTTCTGGCTTGCTTCCTGGCTTATGCTTAAGTGCTCTCTAGATCAGAAAAGAACCTGCCTCAGGAGCAAGATTAGGAGCTGAAGGAGTGGGGTGAGGATGAGGAGAAAGAGAGGAAAATAATTAAGTCTATGTTTCTACAGGCTCTGGATCTTTTGCTGTTAACTCTCCTTTGAGCACATCCTGACACCTTCCCAGTTACTCCTCACTTTTTAATATTCACTTGTTAGAGCGCAAATTATTTTTTGATTTCTCCAGCATGGTGTGTATTCTGTATTTTGCATTGCAGTTATCCCTTCCTTGCATCTGTCAAGATGCCTATGTATGCTTTTATTTTTGTTATGGTTCTTACGCTGCACCCTCTACTGTGGTATATGAGTGCATAACAATGAAGAGGAAATATATACAGGAAAAATTAAAAAGCACATGTAATACCTTTCACACAATTTGTGTCTATGCACTTCAGAAGCTTTTAGGCAACTATTCCTGTAGACTGACTGCTATTGCATAGTGTACAACCACTAAATACTTTCCCTTGCATTCAGAAATCAGCCATAGAGTAAGTGAATACTCATTTCCTGCTGCACTGTTTCTAGTTAAATTTTTATATAGGACTTTTTTTTTTAAGCCAGAACTTCTCTTTCAGACGCATCCAGTGTTAAAGGCCTTTGTGTGTGGTTCCATCAGTGGAACCTGCTCCACCCTTCTCTTCCAGCCCCTAGATCTGCTGAAAACCCGTCTGCAGACCCTGAAGCCTTCCGTCAATGGGTAAGTGCTTAAAGCTTCCATTATTTGGGTGGAGGGAGGGTAATTTTCTTGCTTGCCAGGGCCTGCAGTTGAAGGTAGGGTCTCAGATGTTGCTAACAGTTGGGCAGGCAGAAGAGAAAGAAGGAATAGGTTATGTGTTGGGGAGGGGTTGTACTTTGAAGGAGCCTACAAAGTGAAAGATCTTAGCGAGACCCTATTCTCACCTAGTGATATTCAACCATTGCTGTGAGCACTGCATTCATTGTTGGAACAGCTGTCCTAGGTAGGCCCATGTGGTTTTATTGATGCCCTCCATGCTCTGAAATATCCCATATGATCTCCACATGCCTTTATCACATGGGGAACTGGTATGTCAACATCTAATCAACCTCCCCCTCTTCTCTGATATATTTATCCATGACTCCATCCATTCTTAATGATACTGCAGTCACTCTGGTGGTGATGAACTATGATGTCACTAATCAGTAGACTCTGATATCATAGTTGTTTCCATAGTAGTGATATGCTGTCAAAATCCACAGATAATCCCAGTGGGAGTGAGTGTGGCATTGTAAACCATGGATGGAGAGGCAGTATTGAATGAACAAGAAAGAGCAGGCTGAATAGAGAAAGAGTTTCTCAAGGCGCTGTAGCATCTTTAGAGTGTCCTGGGTGGGTGAGTGAAGGAGAACTGGGACAGGGCTGTAGAGTATCAGCTGCAATGCATCTATGTAACTGCTTTCTTGTTTTCCTTCTAGATCAGGTCATGTTGGGATGGTAGCTTTGTTCATTAGGGTTGTTCGTACTGAAAGCCTCCTGGGGCTCTGGAAAGGGGTTTCACCAGTAAGTGATTATTTTAACCCTAACTTTTTCTTTCCTAACATGTGTTAGTACCTATGGTTTCGAATTTTAAAGGTACTGAAATGTTGCCTCACTCAGAATGACTTCGATGTCTGTACTATTTTCAAAAGTGACTTTAGTACTTGGGAGCCATCTTTCTCACTGAAGGGCAGCAGATCTGAGGTTCCAAAATGCCCAAGTCACGTTTAAAACTGGGAGGTAGCTGTGTTATTTAGACTGTACATCACCGAGGAAAGACATGTCAAATACATATAGAGGCTGAGATGTTTTAAGATATCTACAATGGCTGGTGCACTGGCCTAAGTCTGTTGCAGTTCCTGCATGTGCATGTAGTTGGGAATAGAGTCTTTGGGTGAAATCTTGGCCACACTGAAGTCGATTGCAGAACGCTGAGTTCAGTGGAGTAATAATTTTGCCCTTCAACTCTTCTTTCTTCAGAATATCAGCTTTTTTCTTTCAGGGACTATCTCCTGTTCCTGAAACTTCCCAGACAGTTTAACACTTCCTTCCATTGGTGTTCTGTAGTGCAGGAGTAATCAACCTTTTTCTTTCTGAGGCTGCCCCTTCAGTGTACTATTAAAAACTCCCATGGCCTAGCTGTGCCACAGGAACTGATTTTTTTGGGGGGGCATATAAAAGCCAGGGCCAGTGTTAGGGTATAGCAATCAGGGCAGTTGCTCAGTGCCCTAGGGTGCAAGGGGCACTGTGAAGCTAAGATGCTCCTGGGTGGTGGGATTTGGTATCTTGGGCTGTGGTCCTGCATGGTGGGGCTTTGGTTTTATGCTCTAAGTCTTAGCTAGCCATAGTTGGTGGACCCCCTGAAACCTGCTTGCAGTCCCCCAGGAGGCCTCAAACCCCTGGTTGAGAATCACTGCTGCAGTACGTTTTCATTCCCTCTTATTTTCTCACCATTTTTCACTTTTCTGCAGTCCTTCGCAAGATGTATTCCAGGGGTTGGGATTTACTTCAGCACCTTGTACACAATGAAGCAGTGCTTTTTCTCAGGTCGCTCCCCAACAGCCCTAGAGTCTGTCTTTCTGGGTGTTAGCGCCCGTACAGTAGCAGGAGTTTGTATGTTGCCTGTAACCGTGGTGAAAACACGATATGAGGTGAGTGCAAGTTTTCATAGTCCTAGAAATTTCTGTTCAGCTTTCATGTTGTAATATCATACCCTCATCTATAGCACAAAAATTGAGTCTGCCTGGTATATCAGAGACCAAAAAACAGAGACCCTATAAGCTGCTTCTATACTGTGTATGGTTCTTAAATACTGCAATGGAGATATGGTCTGAAAACTAAATGGACTGAAATACTTCTCACTCAAACACCAGGGCAAGTAATTTTATATTTTACTTGCTCAACAAGAAAATATTTTTATCATCATTTTAACAAGAATGGAAAGAGTAGCTGTTCTGTGGTTAATTTTTTTGCAAGGCTGGTCTGTAATATCTACTGTATATTTGGTGGACATTTATTTTATAATGTATTAGTTCCATTTCACAGATTTGCTGTTCAGGAGCTAAGGCTCAAATTCCCCTCATCTCGTGTCCTTGGTGAGGATTGCTGGAGAAGCACCAGGCTTAGCCCTGAGACGAAACTAGGGTTAACTCTTCCAGCCAATAGAAGAGAATGGAGGGGGAGAAGTAAATTGCTATACACTGATCAAATATCAGTGCTAACGCATGTGAGAAGTTATGGTGTTGACACTGTATCAGGACTGCGATTCTCAGGTTTTGCTGTGATGTCATTAGAATAGTTCCTGTGTCATTTTGTGTTTGTTTATATGTATGTGTGTGTGTGTGTGTGTGTGTGTGTGTGTGTGTGTGTGTGTGTGTGTGTGTAGATTTTATATATAAATCCGCATGCATGCGTGCATGTGCACAACTGCAATATATAATTGGCCTTGGAAAAGGAGAAATATGGCTAGCTGACAGCATTTCTGTCTATGTAGCCATCAGGTGAAACAGAACCCCTCTTGTGGTGGTGCATATGAAGCATTAGGAGTCAGGGGAAAGTATCCACCCCTTTTTGTGTTGAAAGGAAATTTCACTTTAAGGCTTGTTTAGTAATGACGTCTCAGTATGACTGACCATCTGTCTGTCATGTAGGTAGTTATTTTTGTGTGTCCTCTGCAGAGTGGGAAGTATGGCTATGAGAGTGTATATGGAGCCTTGAGGAATATTTATCGGACAGAAGGCACCCGGGGCTTGTTCTGTGGGCTGACAGCAACGCTCCTGCGCGATGCACCTTTTTCTGGCATCTATTTGATGTTCTACACCCAGACCAAAAAAGTTATGCCTCAGGGTAAGGCTAAATGTGGCCGTAGAAACATAGTTTGTGGTTTTTCTCACCCTCAGTATCCTTAGGTTTCTGTCCACATACTTTACTTTGGCCTTTTTCTATATGGTTAAATTGATCCTTTGTAGGGCTTAAGTGGGGCATTAGCCTTTCACTTTTAGAACTGCATGGAGGAGTCTCAAATGAAAATGACCAGGATCTCATGTGGGTGCTCAGGTGACTCTAGTCTAGACTGCACATAGAATGTATCACACTTCATGTGATCTGTTGAGTTAGCCTATGAACAAAGTGAGACAGATACATTAGGGCTGCATTTGCCAAGCAGAGGGTACTGTGGGTTAGGGATGAGATGTTAGCAGAGCTGTGTGTGGGGAAAACTTGATCAATAACTAAGGGTGTGTCGAGACTACAGGGTTTTGTCGACAAAAGTGGACTTTTGTCGACAAAACTATACCTGCGTCTACACTGCCGCTGAGTTCTGTCGACATAACGTCCACAGAACTCAGCAGTTTTGTTGGCGGCTGTAAACCTCATTCTACCAGGAATAATGCCTTCTGTCAACAGAGTTCTGACAACAGAAGGCATTATTGCATGTACACAGTCCTTTGTGTCTCTACTGTCATGTCAACAAAGCAGCTTGCTTTGTCAACAGAACTGGATGTAGTCTAGACGCTCTTTGTTGACAGCTTTGTCGACAGTATCTGTCCACAAAACTTCTGTTAACAAAAGCCTGTAGTCTAGACATATCCTAACATTGCTAGTCACTCATTTTCATACATGCTATATAGTAATTGAGATTAGTTTGGTTTTGATATGAGAGCTTTCTCCTCTGCCGCTTCTGCCATCTAAAACTCTCATTCTTTATCTCTGTGTCTCTGTCGGTCATAGAGAGAATGATTTCTGTTCAGCCAAAATTAGCATTGGTGTGTCTATTTTCTAATCTCCTTTTTATAAAGTTTCTTCTCTGTAATCTCTCACTCTTTTCCTAAACAATTTGCTTTACGATTTGGTAACAATTAGGTTGGGATACAGCTTATAAGAAAGCCACTATATATGGCACAGAATTGTACTGTATATTATCTGAGTAAGATGTGTTTTGCTCCATTTCAGACCAGGTGGATCCAGCTCTGACCCCCTTGGTGAACTTCAGCTGTGGAATCTTTGCTGGAATCCTGGCCTCACTGGCTACACAGCCTGCGGATGTAATCAAAACCCACATGCAGCTGACACCTGAAAAATACCGCTGGATGGGGCAGGCCATTGCCTCAATCTTCAGGGTGAGGCTGAGAAGATTGTGTTAATGTATGATTTTAACCTTAGTTCTGGTCACTTTATCATAGGGATGTCAACGTGTAGTCGACTACACAACTAACCAGAAATCCATATCTAACATTCCTACTTTACCATTGATGCAGGTTTGATAAGTTTGTCACCTTCATCTAAAAAACAGACCTTCAGATGAGTCATTACTAGGTATTTTGCTGTGAAAGCTGGGTAGCTCCTGAAATGCTTCTAATGTTATGCTATAGGAGTTGGAACTTTTCTATCTATGGGAGATGGACTTCTTGGTCCACATACAACCTGAGGCAGTAGTGATTGAAGTTACTACCAACTGATGCCTGGTTTGTGGTCTGAACCTGGTTCCTATTGGGCAGATGAGCACCTTTGGGAGCAGGTAGCTCCCAAAAAACAACTGTTTGTTCCTTGCCCTGCCTGAGCTGTGTGAAAATTAATCTGCTAGACCAGTTTTTGTCAACCAGTGGTACGAATACCCTTAGGGATACTCAAGAGAAGTCTGTGGGGTACATGAACACAACTGAAATTTAAAGAGAACTGAATTTTTGTTTTAAGTTTTACAGCGTTTTATTATTTTTGTAGTTTTTACACCCAAAAATTTCATCACCCGCCCGGCTACGATTAAGTTATTTAAACAAATGTGTTGCAGTGGTAGAAAAAATGTTGTGTCTGAAAACTGTAGGTACTGCGGGTACTTAACTTCTTTTTTTTTTTTTTTTTTTTTTTTTTTTAAAGAAGTATTTTATAAAAAAAGGTTGAGAAAACACTGTGCTAAACAGCTTCTCCACCACCTGGTTATTCCTGGTGCTCCACCCTCTTTTATTTATGTACACAGGACAAATCCCTTGAAAAAGCAAACACTCTGTAGCTAAGCGAGGGGAGTGAGTGAATGAAAAGGGGATGACAGTTCTACACATTTGAGCATGTTACAGTCACCCCCCCCCATATGTAATTTTAACTTGTATCCTGAGCCATCATATAACTAGATGTTTCAATTCACCTTTTGGCACTCCTTTTTTAAGAGCCCTTTTACCCTTCGACTGTTGTTAATAGAATGTACTTACACAACTAATGTGAAATCAGTAAGCAAATAACCTTAGAGGATCTGGGCATATCCATTCCTGGCTGCTGGCAGCTGTGGCTTATCACTGTAAAACTCCTGTGATTATCAGACAGAGGCAGGAGGACTTTTGTAATATGCTGCTTTATAAACATGAGCTTCAAGGATAAATGGGCTATAAAACAATTATCAGTTCTTTGAACACTAGAAGCAAATGTACATATCTGTTATAACTGGGTGGGGATGTACTGGAGTGGATACCCCCAATGGAGCACTGCATTGGGCTAATGTCCAATAGGTATCTTTGAGGCCAAAGTTGTGATTTGCAACTCTTATGATTCAATTATAGGAGTTACACAACATCAGCGTTGGGTTACAGTTGTCCTGACATTGAGTTACCTTACTGTGAGGTGACCCATGGCTAAAATAAGAGCCTGCAAACTCAGTGTGAAAGATTTGGGGCTGAATTTTACAGATCAAGTCCATATCAATTCTCTTCCCTAAAAGTTTTTGTCTGTTTTAATCTGGGTTTCAGCCACAATTCTGCTTAGGCTCTGTTTGCTCCCATTCAGAATTTCTTTCTGCTCAATGAATGTAAATCCTATGCAGAGCTTTAAAAATGCTTATGGGCAATTCTGTGAATATTAATTGACACAACATTTTGAAGTGAGGCAGACACAATATTTTGAAGTGAGGTAGGTCACTATGTTAAATCACATAAAGTAGTTTCTTTGTCTATTTCTCCTTTTTTGCTGGGCAGAGTTGAGGTTTCCCTGTATGTCCTGATTTCCATACCTTTTCTTACTGTTCTGTCCTTTACCTCACCGTGTCACTGCTGTTGATTGATGCTAGAGATCCTTTCTCTGTTGCTCTCTCCTGGACTGAGTGCTGTGTGAGCATGGATTTGTCAGGCACTAGGGGACTAGCACAGATATTTCAGTGCAACCATGGGCTATGCCATCTAGTAGATGTCTCAGAATTAAGTGAGAGAGTTGTTTGTTTTGTTTCCTTCTGCAGGACTGTGGATTGATTGGCTTTTTCCGTGGTGGAGTCCCCCGTGCCTTGCGGCGCACTCTGATGGCAGCGATGGCATGGACTTTATATGAGCAGATGATGGCAAAAATGGGACTCAAATCTTGAAAGACTTTTAGTAGAGACCACCAGTCTAAGCCCTTCTTCTGCTCACAGGGATCAGATGGAGAAACTGGTGATATCCCAGTTGTGCTTGGGTGGACCTTTGTTCCACTGTGGTAGTGATACAATTTCGGACCAGGAGAGGACCAGACTGCCAAACATGCCCTCTTTAACACAGGTACAAGTGGAGGGGAGAAAACTTTCACCATGATCTTCAGAGCAAAGAATTTCAGGAAGACTGTACCATTTAACTTCCTTGGCAGATGAGAAGGTTTTGGGGTCCTATGAACTGCATGGTTACAATAAAGATTGTTCAAAGAAACGCCTTTAGAATAGTCCTATGTGCCCTGAGAAGCCTTTGCATAGAAGCCAGCTGAGGAATTTGGGGAAGAAGTGATTGGACTTTGGACTACAGAGCTAAGCAACTTTATATGCTGGTGGTGTGCCCACTCTATGATTGGAGGCCATGTGACATGCACCCTGTTACCTCTCAGTGCACCCAAGGAAAATGCACCAAAGAGACTGCTACAAGGGGTACAGCATAACCATTTGTTTCAGAGCTTGCATATTATATTAATACATGCATTAGAGTGGCAGGGGGGAAATGTGTGACTAAAAGGAATGCGTGGACATGTGCTCTTGCCATACTTTGCACGGTAATTTTGATATTGGATATTGTCATTGAGATTCCCGAGAACCACCTCTGTTGTGGCTTGCAGCCTTTATGCCTCTTCCCTTGTGCTTTAGGTTGAATTTCCCACAACATGACCCAGAGTCTTAGAAGAAAACATTTCCCACTGGCTTTATTCTTTGCCTTAGCGGCATTTGTTATGTCTACTTACATGACTCCTATGGCAGGGCAAAAACACTGACTATCTTGACATATGACTTCTAGATGAGAGGTAGAAGGACAGAAAATGGATTTGCAAAATGGAATCTTTTTTAAAATTCCATTTACAGCCTCTCTGTACAAGCTGTTTTTCTTGCACTATTTAAATTGAACTGTGGCTTTGGACCACTATTCAAGTTTAATTACTGTGGAGGTAAATGCATCTGTAATAAAACATATCATGTAAGAAGTTTGTATTCTACACTGTCAGTTACATCTGTGGCTGCAAAATGGACTAGCATCAACTCTTTCCTCCCAAGTGAGGGGGATGTTTAGGTTTCGTGTCAGAGCCTTTCTCTCTCTTGTTTTTAAAACATGGGGACAATTAGGAAACAGGTGGCAAACAAACTCCCCAGTGTGCTAGGGACAGCTACATTGCCTTTGTTTGTGAGCAGTTCTGTGGAGCAATGAGGACAAACAGCCTTATGGGAAATTGCAGGAGAGATAGGTTACATCTAGATGGCAAAAGAATAAAACATCCCCCTCTAGTAAATTTTAGAGCCCAGCTGAAGTGATTGCAGGCTTGTGTTTTGGGGCTAAAAATAGCTGTGTAAGTATTTGGGTTTGGAGACCCTTCCTACTCACTGGGGGTATGTCTACACTACAGCGCTAGTTCGAACTAACTTAGTTCGAATTAGTTAATTCGAACTAAGCTAGTTCGAACTAACGCATCTAGAACTAAAAACTAGTTCGAACTAGCGTTTTGCTAGTTCGAACTAGTAAGTCCACATTGAGTGGACTCTGAACAGGGCTTAAGAATGGCCGGAAGCAGTGCCGGCAGGGCATAAAAGGAGGACTTAGAGCATGGAGATACTGTCTCAGGCTAGCCGAGGGCTGCGCTTAAAGGGTCCCGACCCCCACCCCGGACACACAGTTCTAAGGGGTGCCCCGCTTGCAAAGAAGTTCTGGCTTGGAGTGCCCTGAGTGCCCACACTGGGCACATCACACCACTCGGCCATCAGCCCGGCTGCACTTGCCGCAGGCTGCCATCTGGGGAGAGGGAGTAATTGGGGGGCTGCAGGAGAGCTTCCACCCCCAGAAGCCCGCAGAGCCAGCCCAGTCCTCCCCATCGGGGGCTCGTACCCCATTCCTCCCTCACCTCCTTCCACTTACCCTTCCCTAGCCCCCCTTCTTATTGATGTACAAAATAAAGATAACGTTTCTTCCAACATTGACTCTGTCTTTATTGAAAAAAACTGGGGGAGACTGGGAAAAGGAGGTGGGAGAGGGGAAGAGAAAGGCTGGGAGAGGGGAGGGCAACTAACATGATCAGGGGTTGGGAACAGGTCCCAGATGAAGAGAGGCTACAGAGACTGGGACTGTTCAGCTTAGAAAAGAGGAGACGGAGGGGGGACAGGATAGAGGTCTCTAAAAGCAGGGGTTGGGTGGAGAGGGTGCATTCAGAAAAGTTCTTCCTGAGTTCCCATAAAGAAGGACTAGAGGACACCAAAGGAAAGGAATGGGTAGCAGGCTTGAAACTAGTAAGAGAAAGTTGTTCTTGACAAAGCAAATAGTTAACCTGTGGAACTCCTTGCTGCAGGAGGCTGTGAAGGCTACAACTAGAACAGAGTTTAAAGGGAAGTGAGATCAAGTCATGGAGGTTGGGTCCATGGAGTCCTATTAGCCAGAGGGTAGGAGTGGTGTCCCTGCCCAAAGTTTGTGGAAGGCTGGAGAGGGATGGCACGAGACAAATGGCTTGGTCACTGTCTTCGGTCCATCCCCTCCAGGGTCCCTAGGGTTGGCCGCTGTTGGCAGACAGGCTACTGGGCTAGATGGACCTTTGGTCTGACCCAGTACGGCCATTGTAAGCTCAGGGCTCAGTGTCGGGGGTCTCAGTGGACCCCCTTGATTTTCATGCACACCTGGTCCTGGGTGGCCAGGCTGGCAGCCCTCCTGCCCTAGACGGCCACTTTCCTGTGCCTAGTGCAGAGATCGTGGACAAGCTCCCGGGAGCCGCCAGCCTGGTCCCGGCAAGAGGGGGTGGGCTGGGGGGCATCGGGTGGGTGGCTCTGTGCCGTGCCAGGTGCAGGGTCTGCTAGCTGGGTGCTGGCAGGCTTGCACCTGGCACGGGCACCGTAGCCAGCCCGTGCCCCTTTAAGGGGTCCGGGGCCGGGAGGGGGGCATAGAGTTTCCCTGGTGTTGGCCAGAGTGGCCACCAGGGAAACCTGGGAAGCCTTAGCCTCCCCCTAGTTCGAACTAAAGGGCTACACAGCCCTTAGTTCGAACTAGCTAGTTCGAACTAGGCGTTAGTCCTCGTAAAATGAGGTTTACCTAGTTCGAACTAAGCGCTCCGCTAGTTCGATTCAAATTCGAACTAGCGGAGCGCTAGTGTAGCACCTATTAAAGTTAGTTCGAACTAACGTCCGTTAGTTCGAACTAACTTTGTAGTGTAGACATACCCTGGGCTATTTTTAGCCCTATAACATGAGTCTGAATCAGTTGACTCTAGGCTCTGAAATTTGGTGCTACAAGATTTTGGGGTTTTCTGGCTTTGTAGACAGCCCCTACTTGTCTCTCCCTAAGCTGGGGCACCCCCAGCAAAATCACATAGTATTGCTCTTAGAACTTCCATTATTATTTATATTTTATAGCTCCAGTCATAGAACAGCATCTCACTCTGACAGGTATTGTATAAACAGAACCAACCAAACCACAGCTCTTGCCCCAAAAAGGCTTCCTGTCTGTGGGGAAGGAACACATCTCCTCTTTTGTGTCCCTGGCTTTGAGCTCATGCCCTTTATCTGGGACACCCGCAGTAAACATTCATATCAGAAAAAACACAACTAATTTGGCAGCCCTTGCAAAGAACATATAGCTAGCCTTAATTGATAGCCCTAGATACTGACTAAAGGGCAGGCAGAACAGGAGTTTCTGTTGCTGAAGGAAGCCTGCTGCACAGAAGCTAGGGGATGCTGCCAAAAGCATTAAGTCCCTGCTGCAGCTGATCTCTGCCAGGCAGTCCTGTTAAATTGGTTTCCTAGGCAAATGGCTAGACCCTTGTGCAGACACTTTATCTGCCGAGCCATTCGTGTACCAGGATTGGGAAGGGTGGGCTATAGAAGCAGGAGTTATTTCCCAATAGCATCTGTGAGTGCCTCCTTGCCTGACTGCTAGCAGGTAACTCTGGCACGGAATCCAGGCACAGCAGTAGTACCACAAGTTGTGCCCTGCTCTCCAAACTTGCAGTTTCTCCAACTACTTTCCTCCAGACCCGTCGAGATATAAAGCACATTCATGTTTAAGCTGCTAAAGATTCTTCTGGTCTTTTAGAAGCAACATTCAATGGAATCCCTAACTTGGCAGTCATAGGAGGAGAGGAAGGTAACGTCTATTAATTGTACTTCAGTCCTTCATAGGAAATGGTGAATTGCAGATCCTCTTTACCAGGCTTTCATGAGGAAGCTATCAATCTCTAGGCTGCATTTCAAAGAGAATGTGTGAAAAATGTTTGGAGCTTTGTTCTTCACTGCTGTGAGTCCTGCAAAATCATTCACACCAATGGAAAGGATAGGGGGATACTCCCCTTACAACTCACTCTTAGTAGAAATGACTACATCAATGAAAGGCCCTCCTTGTGCTATGTGGTGAACAAACAACAAAAAAGTCCCTGCCATAAAGACTGTCCAGTGTAGTGCCCTAGGTCTGAACGCAAACGATGCAAGGCAGTGCAGGAATCAGGATGTACATTTCAGCCAAAAAAAAAAAATTCTTATTGCTAAGCCCATAACAGCTAATGCATGGCCTTATGCTATCATGCCCCTTCTTCAGCTCCTCTAACAGAACAGGAATATGAAATGTAGCAATCCCAATTCTGGTTATCTTTTGAAAGCTAATCTAAATTACTGGATTAAATGCCCCCACAGCTGTACTTTTCGCAACATTGTACAAATGTTTCTTTGTAAATAGAATTCCTGCAAGAGACATGTAGATCTTTAAATTTCCACACAAACCTTCTACTATTGCATAAAATCAGTCTTCTGTTCTTCATGATTCAATTCCCATGCATACTATGCAGACCCCCACTAATTCTACAGCATCTGCCTCCATTAGGGTTTTACAAATGGCACCAACTGATCTCCCCTTTTCCACAAAACATGCTTTACCAGCCTAGGTCTGTTAGTGCTATCAGAAAAAGAAGAGATTTTTTGCTGTATTCATTAGCAATGGGGCAGAAGAAACATGGGGTGGAGTCCACAGTTGGGTGCTTATCTGTTGTACACAGCTGCTCCTTGATGAGGTTCAAAACCCTGGCCTAATATGGAAATAAAGCAAAGGGAAAAGTAGCAGGTCAAAATGTTTCTGAAGCACAAAGCCATCTTCAGGATACTGAAAGACCATTCTAAAGACCCCTTACTTCATGCTGTGCATATCTAAAACTAAGACCTGTGATAGGAAGGCTAAGGAGAAGAAAAACTTTGAACTGGCACAGTATAAACAAGGCTATCATAGGTTTCAACAGTACCTTGTATTCACTATATGAATTCTAAAGCCATTATTTTTATTAGGGATGTAAAAGAGTAGTCGATTATTCGACTATCTGATAAGCCTAGCCTAGGCTTATCGGGTAGTCGAGTTGACTACTCACATTTCCCTTCCCCCCCTTGCTGCCTCTATATCAGAGGTGATTTGAACTCCAGACTCTCAGCTTCCCTAGTTGGTGACCTAAATTGTCAATCCATTAGCTGAACCTGGTAAGTAAACCGTATTTAAAAGTAGGCTTACCATATCCTACAAACAGCAATGATATGCACATTATATATCAAAGAGAGCAACTGACATCAACTAATAAAAAGAATGACTAGTTGAAGAATTACAGTAAAATATAAAAGACCCATTACATTCTTTGAGGTAGCAAATTAGCTACTGGGGCTCTTTGAACTCCTACCCCAACCCTGTGACTGAGCAGCAGCACTGGGCAGCATGGGGAAAGAACCCAACTCCCTGGCATCCATGCCAGGTGTGGCTACAAGGGAAGCTCCCCTGAACTCCCAACCCATTCCCAGGCAGGCAGGGTGGCAGGTCCTCCAACTCCCAGCTCTGATAGAGGGCCACAGGGGAAGCCATTATCACTCTCAAGACTGGAGAAGCCAGGAGTAGCAGGGGAAGCCCCCCCCCACACACACACGTAGAGGCTGGGGAGCAGCAGGGGAAGCCCCCACACTGAGACCCCATTGAGGCACTAGTACTGGAAGAGCTCTTGCTATCTGCTGCAGCCTCAGGGCTGAGGGAGTTCTTCCCTTCTCTGGTCTTGGGGCTGCAGTGGGCAGGGTGAGGGAGACTGAATGGGAGGAGGACCCTAGGTGATGGGGTCACAAAAATAGGGCACACAATGAGGGCAAGATCACAGGTGAAGGTGGTGTGGGAGGGGCTTCCCACTTACTCTAGACCAGGAGGACTCCAGGAAACCTTAATCTACACCTGCATAGTCATTTTACAGTATTAGTACAGCACCAAGCATCGCGAGACCTTCACTGGGGTTTCTAGGTCATAGAATTCACGGTCAGAACAGACCTAGCTAAAGCCAATAGATTTACTGCAATACTACAATTAATTGGGGGGAGGGGGGTATGGGAGGAGGGACTTATCTCTAACTTAATATCTCAACTCCCTTGCTACCAAATGGCCATCTCTTTCCCCATTTTAAATAATTTTATCCCAAATTGTGACTCTGTAAG